AAAAAAAAAAAAAAAAAAATTGTTGAATGTCAGCTAATTTTAGTATCATAATTTCAACTTAAACTAAAATCAATGTGACATGAATCACTAATATGGGATTTGTCATGATTTATAAATATATCTTGGACATTAAATAATAAATTTTATTAATTTATGTTAAAAACAACCATTCACATATTTATATTGATATTAATATTAATTTATTCATTTACGTAGAGCTGAGTAGTAACGAAGATACACATCAACAAAACAATATTTACATTTAAACACATCACAATATGCTGTTCATTATATTTTTCGATCATTTTTCAAAAATATACATATATAATAATTTATTATTGAATTTTTTTTTTTTTTTTTTTTTTTAATGTAGACTAATATTTTTTAACTTTTTTTAATAGTATACTAATAAAGAAATAAAGTTTGATTCATTTTATGAATTTTAAAAAAATTGACAGCGATTATTTAATTTTTTTCATAAAAAATGTACATGCTATATATTGTATGGGGCGCTTAATTACTAGTTGAAATAATTTATAGGCACCAATGGTTAATTATGGCCCTTTTATCACGATGACATTTATCAACTGATTTTTATTATAAATCATAATTAATCTATTTATTAATTGGGCCATCGATTAAGCTTCTAGTATATATTTTTTTTATATACTATATAATAATATTTTAAGCTGCCTTTATCTCTATACTTGATCAGTAAATAAAAAATAACTAAAAATAATAATAATAGTAGTAATAATTAGAATAAAAAATGAACAATTCGGTGCATTAACGGTACTTTACGAGAGGAGCAGTGTAAATAATCTTATCAATGGACAATTATAGCAAAAATAAATATTTGTATATATGTATGTCATTTCTCTCGCTTGCAAAACACTTATTCACGCGCACAATAAATTATATTAATAGATTATAATTAATTATATTTAATTCATTCGCTGGATTGCATAAAAATAACGAGTTTTAATATAAATTAATTAATTGTGACAATTATAATTGATCTTTTTTTTGTATAGATTACCAAAATATTCAATCTTGATGTGTTTAATTTAAAAATAATAATTTTTGATTACCTTTATTATTTTAATTTATCAATTAATGCAATAACAAGTGACTAGGTCATTTAATCTTGCGATTGCTTTTAAATTCAATACTAACTTTATTATAAGTCATTAATTGCAACCTAATTGTGTCGATTTTTTTAAGTAAATAAATCACACGTCAATTTAGTAAACAAATCTATAATATCTAGACCATTAATTAAGTCTAATTATTCATTAATTACAATTATTAAAGATGTTGAGATAAATATATCGAAAGTTAAATAATAAACTAAACTCAGAAACTATTTGGAATGTGAATTTATTTCTTCGTCATCACTGTAATCATCACTCAAATAGTGATTACTATTATTTGGAAAATCGTAGCGACCAGTTTTCTTTGGTGGTGGACTGCAAAAATAAATTTATAAATTATAAATAATTCATCTTTTCATTTATTATTAAGGGGGTGTTCTGGTCTAGAAGCATAAAATTTCAGGTAATTTTCATATATACATATTTATAGTATATATTTTAAAGATATAAGTTCATCTCGATGTTACACTCATCAAGAGCTTTCATTTGAATACCCACATGCAATTTAATATATTTTTCATATATACATATATATAATATATATGAATATATGAAAAATTGATGTGGGTACTCAAATGAAAGGTCTTGATGAATGTAACATCGGGATGAGCTTATATCTCTAAAAATTTCAATAGTTAACGAAAGTACACTGCAATTTAAGATAATTAAGAAACTACCTTGTATCTTGTGAACTATTGATATTTTTAGATATAAGCTCACCCTGGCATTACACTCGTCGAGACCTTTCATTTGAGTACCCACATGCATTTTGATATATTTTTCATATATATTTATATATAATATATATAAATATATAAAATATATGAAAAATCGATGTGGGTACTCAAATGAAAGGTCTCGATGAGTGTAATGTCAAGATGAGCTTATATCTTTAAAAATATCAAGAATTCACAAGATATCTATTAAACTTGCACTGTACTTTCTTAAACATTGACGTTTTTAGAGATATAAGATCATCCCGATGTTGCACTCATCAAGAGCTTTCATTTGAGTACCCACATGCATTTTGATATATTTTTCATATATACATATATATATATATAATATATATCTAAATATATGAAAAATTGATGTGGGTACTCAAATGAAAGGTCTTGATGAGTGTAACATCGGGACGAGCTTATATCTTTAAAAATGTCAATACTTTTCAAGATACAAGGTCATTTCTTAATTATGTATCTAGAGATAGACTTTTCTGTAGTTCCAACCATAGCGACATTACTCTAGATTAATAATCTTTTTTATTAATATTTTTTAAATCATGGGTATAGTCACGTGCCAATTTTTTGAGACCTCCCCACTTCATCATCAGCTGTTAATTTTTTGGATTTTCAACTTTTTTTATTTTTTCTGTATTCTTATAATGTTAACAAATTATATACTTATAAAAAAAATTATAGTAAAAATATTGATTGCCTTTTTTTTACGGCACTTCAAAAATTACCTGAAATTTCATGCTTCTAGACCAGAACATAATACCTCCTTAATAAATATTTATGAGGCTAAATTAAAAAATTACCTGACTTGATCATCGTCATTATTACTACTACTGCTCCCATTTGGACTACCCGCTCGTTTAGGACTTGCTGGAGGTGAAAGCGCTTGCATCAAACGACCTTTACTTTCGTTCCAAATCGTCGACTGTAAATAAATTAATCAATCAGTTTAAAAAAAAAAATTCAAATACATTTATTTAATTTTAAATTAATCTTATCATAGATTTAGCGAATAAAAAAATGAATGAGATTGATGAATTATTTTTTTATTTAAAGAAACATATAAAATACTTAGAACAAATTTGGATAAATAAATAAATAAATAGGTAGAGATAAAAGATTAATAATTAATAGATTTTATCACTTGAGTTGAATTTGTTAAGATATGAAAGATTCCACTTGTGAGACAGGATTTACAATGAGCTACTCCAATGATAAAGAGAGATAGAATGAAAAATAAAAAACAAAAAAAAATTTTTTTGGTACAGACCAGTCGACCCTCTCGACCAAATAGTAATAAAAAAGCGTCTATAAAATCACGAGATTTTTCTTCCCACTTGCTAATCATATCCATACGCTTCTCTTCAATGTTTTCCATTACTCGTTTTCCCTTGTCTTTTAAATCATCGAATTTATTTTGTAATCTGAATTTTTTTTCCTGAATAACATAATTAATTATTGGTATTATTAGAACATACATTAAAAAATTAATTAATATATATATTTATCAATTTAATCAATGATAACTTACACTTAAAAACGAGACGTTTAATTCCTTGGCACTGTAACCTCGAGCTAAATTTCTTCTAACATAAATATCATAATCTTTGACAATTCTAGCCACAATATCTGATGTAGAGACACCCTCGGTTCTTTGAGTAGCTGCAAACATTCCTTTAGCTTTTATCCAACCATAAACATCGTCAGCCTCGTCAGTTGAATACGGGATGTCGTCGTGCGCTACGAAGTCTATCTGAAAAATTTTTATTTTAAATTTAATATTTAATATTAAATAAAAATTACGATAATAATGTAATCAAGTATGATAATAAATGGATATTATTTTATGAGTTACATATTATTAATACCTTGTGCTTGGCTAGATATTCTTCATCCAGCTCCCATGGAGCGTCTCGCACTAATTCATCGACGTAACGGCAATGCCGTACTGCTTCATATCTCTCATCATCGGTCATAACAGTGCGACCTTTTTTCTCGTGAGTCAATTCGTCATTGCAAACTAAAATTTAATTAAGTGACTGTTATCAATTAATTAAATTAAAAATAAATCAACTGAAAATTGGAACAAACATCTTACCACCGACGATTAAATAAACATTTGGGAAAAGATTTTTTGCCTGCATCAGCTGACGAGCGTGGCCTTGATGGAACAAATCGTAAATTCCGTCTGCGTAAACTCGAACCCGTCTAGGCGCTAAAATAAATATTTTATTAATGATATCTTATATTAATCTAATAATTTAATTAATGACAAACTAGCAACTTTGCCGTGACTTGTAAACTCCAAATAAATAAAATTTTGCTTTATTAAATAATGACTTTTGTTAAATTGGATTGTACTTTTGTAACTATTGACATTTTTTAAGATATAAGCTCATCCCGATGTTATATATATATATATATATATATATATATTGATATATTTTTCATATATACATATATATAATATATATAAATATATGAAAAATTGATGTGGGTACTCAAATGAAAGGTCTCGATGATAGTAACATCGGGATGAGCTTATATCTTTAAAAATGAAAATAGTTCACAAGATACAAGGTAATTTCTTAATCATGTTTCTAGAAAAAGAGCATTTTCAAATGCAGCTGAAATACTTATCATAAATTGACTATTGGTGAGAATGATACAAAGCTATGAAAAGGCACAACTCTAGGTCAAGTCTTTTCCAAATTTACTGGCCACAAAATCTTGCTTATTCTCTTAATAATATAGATAATTAAGCAAACCTTTCCCGCTCTTTGCCATTTTTATGTCAATTTTTTCAGTGTAGTCGCAAGCTTCTAACTCCGCGATGGCCTCCGGGTCATCACTGAATGGTGCTTCTCGATATATTGACTGCAATTTTATAATGTAATGAATAAAAAATTTATCATAAACTGATTAATTATTTTCTACGTTTAAATAATGTCTAGCACTCGAATGTTCTGATAAACTCTACATCCTACATGAAGTAATAATGAATGATTAGTCAACTGTGTTATGACTTATGACAAGCAACAACGGAAACATTTAATGTTTTATTATCGCATTACATTACTATTTATAAATATAATATTAACCATGCAAATATATTTACCGGGAATACAACAGGAGAATCGTCCCGCGATCCAGGAGATGCATGATCTCCATTTTCATGATTATTTTCAAAATTCATTTCAAATATTATTTTTTCTTCTTCCAATTAATTAAAATTTTCGCTATCTGTAATAGAAGCAAATTTTAGTTTTTTTTTTTTTCTTTTTAATTAGTCACGTACTTTTTTATCAACCGATGTGTCATATTTCATCATACATGGCATAGATAAATATTTACTAATTAATTACATTAAAAATTGGTCTCACCGATTTATAAATTAAAATAAATTTTTTTTATTTTTAAAATATCCAACAGGATAAGTATAATTATCTAAAATATTATTTTAAGTCGATTAAAATAAAATATTGACGTGTGAAAAGTAACGTCGTAAAATTAAAAACAAATGAAGACATTTTTTATTAATTTATAATATTGACATATGACTGTCTAATAAAAATAAATGACTCTAAGTAATTAAAAAAATATACCAAGTTTATAAAAATGTGACACGTCTTTAAAAAAGCCGGAACACAATGACATACCACACAAACCTACGATTCCACATGCCCAGCTGACCTAGCTACTACTCCAACTGGCTTTCAAATGCTCACCCACGCACTTTTCAACTATTACACTACAATATATTTATATATATATATATTGTATGTAGTTGGAAAAATTAAATTGACACAAAAACCGGTCAAGTTATTAATAAATAAATAAATAAAAAATAATAAACAAGTGTTTAACCTTAAATATTTATAAAAAATAATAAATTAATTTAATAAATAATAATAAAATCACAGTTACTGACTTATTGGTAGGTTTACTGACTAAAGACCAAAGCCGATACGTACAAACGCAATTATATTATACTTATATTATCGTACGATATAAGCAAGTGAAATAGTTAAACCGAACTGTATAAATTGTCGAGTTCAGCTGGTTCTCTTTTTTTTTCTTGTGCCGACAAGTATATTCAGATGAGTAGGGGTACAACGTAGAACCAGGGCCGTAACATCTGTAATATAAAGAGCACCAATTAATATGTTCCAATTGATGATTGCAATTTAAATTGATTTATTTATAAAATTGTCAACTACTACCACCAGAGCTTGTAACAATCAAGTCTCTCATTCAAAATTACTATTTGAATTGTTAATCACAGGTAATAGTCTAATGGTAAAAATATGGTAATTCCAGTTACGAAAAATAGCTAATGTAATTTAATGAGAATGAGTATAGTAATGCTAATCAGCTTTGAATAAATTTTTTTTTTTTTATACGCAGTAATTATTTTATTTTAGATAACGCACTTTCCCGGTAATTATCACTGGAATGTCAATCGACGTAACATCGGATGATCCGCGACGTCACGTGTACGTTTAGCTTAAATTATTTTTTTTATTGATACTAAAAATAGATAAATCATACCGATGATGATGATGATGATCAATTATATTTTGTTGGATTTAAATAATTAGTTTTATTATTACTTTGTCTTGAAGATTTGTCATTGTGGTGAAAGACTTAATGAAGAAATATAAGTGAAATTATTTGCAGCGGACTTTGTTTCAAACTAAAAAATTATTTTAAGCAGTTGCAGCGTAAAAACTGAAAAAAAAAAAATGATGAAAATTAATTTAGCATATATTTAATGATTTTAAAAATTTTATAACTAATAAAATATGGCAAAAAAAATTGACATGTAGAAATGGTCAATAATAAAAATTGCTATTTTTTAAAAATAAGTTTTTGGAACAAATTTTGTTGATTATAAAATTTAAAATTGTTAAGTGGCTAACTTTAATGATGAAAATTAAGTTAGCCTTTTAATAATTTTTAGATTTTTTTTTTTTAAATAAATTATGGCAAAAAAAAATTAGAAATAAAAATTGACATTTAGAAATGTTAAAAAAATTTTTAAATTCTTTAGTGATTGCTAACTTTAATGTCATTAGTATTATACTTTAATGTCATAAAAAAATGTGGAATTTTACATTTTTTAATATAATTATTTTTTGCAATAAAATTTTTTTCTTCAAACACAAAACTCGCTTGTTTAGTATTTCTAGTATCATTGAAATAATTAATCGGATCGAAGCGTATTAATGTCCAAGGTTATATTTATTATTTATTGTATTATATATTTTTAATCACGACATATATTAATTATTTATTAATTTTATTTTTATCTTCCAGAGTGCAGTAGTTTATTGATTTTAAATTTTGGAAAAAATGGCGGGAAATTTAAAAATTAAAAAATATCAATAATAATAAAAATAATTAAACATTAATTAAATTGACAAGTAATAAAAAATGGAGCACTAAACAAAACACATTTGAATAAAAAATATTTTGGCGGGTGACACGTGAACCGGAAAGGACGACATGCGTGTAAAATTGCGCAGTATATCTCCACATCATACTCGAAAAATATCTTTTGGAGGCTCTTTGAGCACACACATACAAACAAGTAAGCTTGTATTAAAAGTAATACAGATAAAGATAATAGTGTATGAATTAAAAAATTGTGTTTAATTTTTATAGGTGGCTACGGGTAAGAGCTATATAGCTGTGGTTTTTTGCGTGCGTGTATGCGACGTGTGGTGTGTGGATGGGTCCTTTTTTTTCATTTTTAAAAAAGCACGATGGAGATTCAACACGAATTAGTTTCTAAAGCCGAGGAGGTTGCCGATCAGGTAATAATTATTTAAATAAATAATCACAATAATATATTGTTTGCTGATGAATAATTTAACAAAGAGCTCTGGTATAAATAACGTTATTTTAACTGGTGAGTTATCAACACATGAGTGATCGTATGTATTTTTTCCTGTGGGACAGGTGTGTTTCTCCTGTCAACGTCATCGTGACCAGACAATATAATACAACTCAAACATATTTAAGCTCAGCATATTTTTATCAGCATCTGTGGCTCATTTATACCCCAGTGATTTAATTGTGAATTATAATATTGTGCCAAGTGCAATTTACCAGTCACTAATTCAGCAGTCTAACAGTCTGCAGGTTATGATTTTAATTTACGCTGTCTAATCTGATCTTCACCTACATTTGTTTATATCAAGACTTTGTTGTTTAAATTTTTTAAAATAAAATAAAATAAAATAATAATAATAATAATAATAATAATAAACAATAATGGTACTCCAATTACAAGTAATAATTATTTAAAAAATAATAAAACGCAGCTGTCCACGTAATCACTTATAGTGATAACATATTTAAAATATAGATAATAAATATTTTTTAAAAAAAGTCATCAATGTCAATTCCGACATTAATGTTTAAATAAATAAATAAAAATTAATTTAATAATTTTAATTGCAGGTAATTCGCAATGGAAAACATGTGCTACCAACCCTTGCACGGCTTTGTCTCATTGCCACGTTTCTTGAAGACGGCTTACGAATGTGGTTCCAGTGGAGCGAACAAAGAGAATACATGGACATGACATGGAACTGTGGAAAGTTCCTGGCAACTTTGTTCGTCTTGATAAATTTAATTGGTCAACTGGGAGGCTGTGTGATGGTTATTGGAAGATTTAAGGTATCCATTGCCTGTGGTGCCCTGTTTTTCATAGTCGTACTCCAGACGCTCGCCTACAACATACTGTGGGATGTACAATTTTTATTCCGCAACCTGGCACTTATTGGGGCATTGCTCCTGGTACTTGCTGAATCACGTGTTGAAGGAAGATCTTTGTTCGCTGGGGTGCCTACCCTCGGGGAAAACAAACCCAAAAATTATTTACAACTTGCTGGTCGTATTCTTTTGGCATTTATGTTCGTAACGTTGATACGTTTTGAAATATCATTTATGCAAATTACGCAGGATATTGTTGGAGGTATTTTGATGGTATTTGTTACTGTTGGATACAAAACAAAGCTCAGTGCCTTGTTGCTTGTTTTGATGCTCTCGGCGTTAAATATGTATCATAATGCATGGTGGACTATCCCTGACCACAGGCCACTCAGAGATTTCCTAAAATACGATTTCTTCCAGGTAATTTTTTTTTTTTTGTATATTATTTCGCGTTTCAGATGTCATAAGAGAGCATATTCGCAAAAGGTGCCGGTGAAAAGCTGTGAGGGCGTATAAAAAATTTGGGTATCGGAAAAAATTTTTAAGTTATGAAAAATTGATATTGTTTTATTAAAATTATTGTAAAATAAAAATTACAATAATAATTTAATAAATCTAAAATAACATGTATTTTTTATAACTTTAAAATTTTTTCTGGGATTCGATAATTTTTTTAAACCTTGAATTTTTTGGAGAAATTCAAGAAAAAAATTTTATAGGCTCTTATGGCTCCCGGGATCTACCTCGGATGCTATAAGAGCGTATAAGAAAAATTCTATTTTTTTTTCTGTCCAAAAAAAATTTTTAGTATGAAGAAAATTTTTTTTTTTTGCATTTCTCCACATTTTATGGAAAAATACGTCGGTTCCAAAAAAAAAAATTTTTTTCAACCACAGATATCACTGAGTATAATCTGGGATTATATCCAGTGTCATCTTGTTCTTCCCGTGTAGAGTTAAAAAATATTTTTTTTAAATTGCACTTAAATTTTTTTAATAATGAAAAATTTTTTATTTTTCTGTAATAATTTTTTGACATTAAAATTAGCAGTCGCTTGATCATTTTTTAATTTTTTTTCATAAATAAATTTGCTCCGAAAAATAATTTCTAAAAAATTGCATTTTTTAATTTTTTTAATTTTTCTTCAAACTAAAAATTTTTTTTCGACTTCTAAAAAGAATAGAATTTTTATTATATGTCCTTAAGGCATCTGTAACGCGATATTATTTATGCTAATTTGTTTTAACAATAAAAAAAAATTAATAATATTTTATTACAGACTTTATCTGTAGTTGGAGGACTTTTGATGATTGTATCACTTGGTCCAGGTGGTGTGTCGATGGACGAACATAAAAAGCAATGGTAGATGTCTTCTAAATTAGATTATAATTATATTAATCTTAAAAAAGAACTCATCCTTGGACGTTGATCATATGTTTCTGTCCACTATTTTAAACTTGACACGTAAATCCTCGGATATAAATTAATTTTATACTGTATACTAAATTTAAATGTCATATTCTATTATCGTGGATTCAATACATCGGCCGGGATATAAATAATAATAATAAAAATCTAAGTAAATAATTTTATTAATATAAACTTCATGAGGTGTGTAAAAATTTTTAAAATAATTGCTGGAAAAAATTTGTAAGTTTTTAGATGTGGCTGTTGGGTAATGAGAGTAAATAATAATAATTAAATGCAACTTAAGACTTATTTATACAACATATTAATAAGGATGGTATTGTAAATATTACAGTGAGCAATTATCATTGTACTTGGAAATACATTTTTTTTTTGGTTAATATTTTTAATTATTAATTACTAATTGCTATTTTATTTCATTGACCTAAATGTTTCAAATTCGTTGACTGATTTGTTAAAATAAATAACTGTTATTGTAATTAAAAGTATCCACTTTGTAATATCCAATAATTTAATCATTTTTTTGTAATTTAAAATTATTGTCAGTTAATTATCCAACTATTAATTAAAATTTTATTTATGTACTTAATTTTTTATTATTTAAAATTAGCCGACATTTAAAAATTTTTATTATTTATTTTATTGAAAAATAATTTTTAAAAAATTTTAACATGTAGAAAATTTTAAAAATGATACGTGGAATTTTTTAAAAATAGTTTTTTTAGTTTTAATTTTTAATTAATAAAAAAAATCAAAAATTTTTAAGTGTTGGCTAACTTAATTTTCATTAAAATTACACCACGTGGATAACAGCTATTTATCTATTGACAAATAAATAGTAAGACCAGTGGCGCCCTTTTGAATTTAATTCAATCCTCCACACTACTGGCAGCGGAACAGCTGTTTCGTGTCAATTGCACTTACTTGTTCACTTTACGTGTCATCTTATTGTTAACTGTATATATAAGATGGCTTAGCAAGTGATTATTTATATATACATATAAGTATATATGAGGATATATTTTTTATATTTAATAAATATCACAGTAAGTCGCTTCAGTCATTTTTATAAATTTGTTTACACTATCATTTTTTACTGTCTTTATTTTTACTTGATATTTTTTTTTTTAATATTTATATTTATATTTTGTAAACTTATCATTTTTAAATATAATAAATAAAAATTATGATAATAGCACATTTTTTTTTCTTCTCATAATTTAATCCAATAAATGTCCAAGTCTCAGTGAATAAAGGATTTGAGGTTAACGGAGCTTGACAATTAATAGATCAAAGTTTAAATAAAATTAACTTCTATTTGGTGTTTTAAAATAAAATTACAAAGTTATTTATTTATTTATTTACTTATTTAGGTAGTTACATTACATGCGGTGAAGATAACTATCAAGTTCTTGAGAACTTGCTAAAATGTTGTCAGCGTTCAAAAGATTGGCTGGTAAGCACGATGGGGTTGTTAACACATCACCTAGACCTGCTCATCAATCAATGCCAACGACATTGCAGAGAAAATTTTCTAAAGGAGTCCAATATAACAGTAATAAATAATTATTTATCAATAATACCGAATAAATTATGACACTGAAGTTGATACTAAAGTTAGCCGACGTTTTTAATTTTTTGATTTTTTTTTTAAAATTTGCACTTACAGTTTTTCAAGTTTTTTACAAATGAAATTTTTTTTTTAATAATTTTTTCAGCAAAAAAAAAAATCTAAATGTAACGTTCCCGTTAAATTTATAATATTTAATTAAATTTTTTATTCAAAAATTTTAACTGCTTCGTTGGTAATGAATAAAATTCATCATCAGCGAAGTAACGGAAATTACTTGTGATAAGAGAGTCGCCGGGCTCCAGCCTAAAAATCGTGAGAGGGTAACCCAAGATGCAACTTTCAAACGTTGTTAATTTTATTAATTATTATAATTCTTTTGTATTTTGGATGCTAATCCAGAGCAGTCAGCCCGAGTTAGTCAACATAATATATCTCATTAATCGGAATTGATATTATTGATTTATTTTAATCCCATAAAATCTTGAAAATTTAAGAGAGAGCTAAGCAACAGGCCCACAACTGGGTCTGATACTTTAATAAGGCCAACCTGGAATTAAAAAAAATTAAAATCTTGTCCTGGAAAATTCAGAACGTTACATAAAAATTTTTAATTTTATTTAACAATTAAATTAATTCTAAAAAATTATTTTAAAAAAATTGCATTTTTAATTTTTTTAAATTTCTATGTCAATTTTTTTTCTGCCATAATTTATTTGTTAGCAAAAATTCTAAAAATTATTAAATATCTGCTAAATTAATTTTCATTCTGTTGTCAGATAATTAAAAATTTTTTTACAATTTCATGGCAAATATATTATTATAAAAAAAATTTAATTAAAAAATTTCACACGTCAAAATTAATAAAAATTACAAGTGAAAATTTTTAGAAGCATTTTTTTATTGTAATTAATTTATTAAAAAAAATTTTTTAATTCACAACTGACTGCTAAATTCAGTATCATATTAAAATAAACAAAAAAAATCAGCTAATAAAAATACTTATTTAATTTTCAGTGAAAATAATCATCAAGGGTGATAGAAATGTTGGTAAAACATGTTTATTCCATAGACTGCAGGGCCAAAAATTTACAGAAGAATACATTCCAACGGAAGAAATCCAAGTAACAAGTATCCAGTGGAACTATAAAACCACCGACGATGTCGTGAAAGTAGAAGTGTGGGACGTAGTTGACCGTGGAAGGCGTAGGCGAAAATTAGACGGCTTAAAAATGGACAATGCTCCATCAGACGCGATTATCGAAGAGCCAGCACTCGACGCAGAATTTCTGGACGTCTACAAGGGGACCAACGGCGTGATCGTGATGCTAGACGTCACAAAATCCTGGACATTTGACTATGTGCAGCGCGAGCTGCCGAAAATTCCCGATCACATCCCCGTAATAGTCCTGGGAAATCATTGCGACATGTCTCACCACCGTACAGTCACCTCAGATCGCGTGACTTATTTTATCGATTCTCTGACTGAAAGAACCGCTCAAGTGCGTTACGCCGAGTCTTCGATGCGTAATGGTTTCGGATTAAAATTGCTGCACAAATTCTTCAACCTTCCATTCCTGCAGCTGCAACGCGAGACACTGTTGAAGCAACTTGAGACGAATGAAGAAGAAACCCAGCTTACTAGTCAGGAGTTGGATTTGTTTCAAGAGAGCGACGACGCTGATTACGATAAATTCTTGGACAATCTTGTAAATCGGCGACGTGCTGTCGCTGAATCTGTATCAGCGAATATTCTAGTCCCAAATGTAACGTCATCATTAAGCACACACCACGCATTGTCTTCCAGTAATAGTAATAATAATTTTAACGATGTTAGAAGATCTAATTCAATGCCTGGACCGATTGGTGGTGGTACTCCCATTCCTGTTAAATCTTTTGAGGCCAAAGTAATACCAAAAAAAGAAACCAAGACAGATTATAATGGGAAAAATATAATTTCTGATGATAAAAAGGAAAAGCAGCAAAATTTTGTAGCTAAAATTCTTGCTGGAAAAAAAGATGATGTTCCAACAATAAATTTAACAAATGCAGCTAATAATAAAAATTCTTCTCCGCTAGCAAGCGTTGAAGACTTTGTTCCAGACGATGGAATGTTAGATAGGTCTTTTTTGGACGACAATAATCAGTCACCTCAAAAAACTCAGGCTAGTAGTAATGTAGTTGATACAGATAGTGAGACAGAGACTGCTAACCCACTTGTTGCTGGGTATGAAGACGATCTTTCGTCGGCTGATGATGACCATTCCGTTCCAGTAGAGCCGAGGCTTGCTGAGAATCCTTTGAGCAAGTCTAAAAAGCGTGATGCTGGTTCTTTAATTGAGGATAAAAAAATAATTCCGGAAAAACGCGACTCGATATCGTCCATTGAAGAGCTCCAGATATCGAATGGAGATTTTGGGTCGCTGGATCACCAGGACGGAAATTCAGACAGGTTTAATAGTTGGTTGAGTCGGGACTCCAAGTGGCGGCAGAGTCCCGAGGGTGGAGAAGATGTTAGTAGCACTGGAACTAGAAAAGATAAATTGGATGTCAGTGATAAGAGTCTAGATGTCAGTGTCACTAGTTCTAATGTCCATCTAGAGCTGCTGGATAATTCGAGTGTTAGGCAGAATTATGCTTATGCTAATTCTAACTCCAATTCTAATAGTCCGGTGATGAAGGAGAAGAAGAAGAGGGATAAGGGTGAGGATAAAGAGAAGAGGAAGAAGAAGAAAAGTAAAGACAAAAGCAAGGATAAGGATAAGGGGGATAAGAGTGAGAGGAGGAAGAAACGATCGCAGAGAAAGGATGAGGATGAGGGGAAGGATGAGCTTGAAGAGTTTTTAAATGGACCTGCTTCGCGACCATCTATTGATATGGCTTATGAGGCTTTGTAAGGAAAAGATTTAAAAGCTTCGACTTCCAGTTATAAAGTTGTTCGTAAAATAGCTTGTGTTGTTTATGCCATGGTCTATAATCGATTATTAAATTATTGTAATGACTTATTGACGGATGAACCCTTGATTAAGTTACTCGAGATAAACAATAATAATGATAATTAATCCCGGAAAAAATAGACTTAAAATTATTTTAAAGTTATGAAAAATTTATATTATTTAATTAAAATTATTATAAAATAATAATAATAATAATAATAATGAAATAATGATGAAAATTGTGGGTGTGATACAATTATTATTATTATTATAATTTTTTTTTTTTTTATAATAATTTTAATGAAATAATATGAATTTTTCATAAAAAAAATTTTTTTCAGGTCTATTTTTTCCGATTACCAATGATACTACATTAAAGATTTACAGTTTTAATGAGAAAATTGAGCGGAATTAATTAATTAATTAACCGATTCTTAACTTGGCTGTTTATTCAAGTTAATAACAACTTATTCCAATAAATGATCTTCAAAATACAATAAATCGTTAAACAGTTAATAAAATTTTAATAAATGCAATTTATATATAAATATATATATATACGCTCTGTGAGCATAAATTTACATAGTATTTATAGTCAAAATTTTATTATTTTCTATTTGTATTTTTGTGAGAAATTAATTGTATGATATTTTATAATATCGTTTCACACAATGGACTTTAATAACGGATCGTGTAATTGTATTTATAAGGATTATTATTTATAAAAGAAATAATTGATGATTATTATTATAAATTATAAGTTATTTATAAATTTAAAATTGCTAATTATTGAATCATTTTATCACTTGTATGTAAACGTTCAAATGCTTTAAGTAATAAATGTATATTTATAATTGAATTATTTTTATTTCACTGTAATTACACATTCTTGGATTTTATAATGGTGAAATTTATGGAGATGGAATTAAAATAAGATGATAATGAAATTGAGGGACATTTGATAATTTTTAGAAATTTTTAAACTAATAAATTTTGGCAAAAAAAAATTTATTTGAAAAAAACTGTCTAAAAATTTATAAATTAAATTTTTTTCAATAATTTTCTAGGCCTAATTTATTTTTAAAAAAATTAAAAGAAAAAATTTGACATTTAGAAAATTTGAAAAATTTTAAGTGCAATTTTTTCAAAATATTTTTTTATTTATTTAAAAAATCAAAAATTGTCAAATGTCTGCTAATTTTAGTATTATGTTAAATTATGACATTAAATTGAGCTGTCACTTTACAATTTTTTAATTTTTTTTATCTAAAAAATTTGCTCCAATAAATTATTTAAAAAAAAATTGCATTTTTAATTTTTAAAAATTTCTACATGTCAAAATTATTAAATATTTTCTAAATTAATTTTCATTGTTAAATTGCATTGAAAAGAGCAAGAACCAGAAAGCAAGAGAGAGATAAAAAATATAAGTTAGCGTGTTGCGTCGCGCTGTTCTTACTATATACTCCAATAAAAATGGTGGTTACAAGTAATTTTATTCTAATTCACCAAATAGTTTAGCCTTAAAAAATTATACCAAGTATTGTATTAATAAACCAATTAATATCAAAATAACAAATAAACAAAAATGGCACTGTGTGTAAGAGCAATTCCAAATAAAATACTGTCTTTTGTTGGAACAATAAGTCAAACGCAGCTCGATCGCCGGCTGGCAAGACTCATTGGCACATCTCAATTTTTACATGAGGTTTTTTTATTATTCAATTAAAATATTATTATTAACAATTTGCTTCGTTTAATTTTATTGACTCAATTTGCAGGATTACTGCGATTGAGTTGTCAATAAATATTTTATTTATTTACTAACGCTATTGATACGTTTTGTTATTAACCTATAATTACATAACTACACATGGACTATTGATGGAAATTAATTGTCCAGATATTTAATAATTTTAAAAATTTTTTTAACAAAAAAAATTGACACGTAGAAATTTTAAATGCAAATTTAAAAAAAATAATTTTTAGGAGCAAATCTATTTTTTAAAAAATAATAAAGTGACTGCTAAATTAAATGTCATTAATTATTGCCATATACTATGGATGATTTGATGTTAATTAATTAAATCTATATTTTTTTTCAGGCTCAGTGCGCACCTAGAAAAAGTTCTCCTGAATTAATAATACCTTCAGCGTACAATGCAAGAGAATACCTGAATAATTTTAAAAAAAGTACCAACGAAATAAATTTGTATGCAGTTGCTTCACAATTACCAAAAAAATCAGTTGATTTGCCGAAGCAGGATGAATTTTCAAGAGAAAATCCCGAGCAGAGTAGTAATTATGGGCAGCCGACTTCAGAAGCGTTGTTGAAAGTCTATAAAACTCTCCAAACTGATGTAAGTTTATAGAAAATTTTTAATACTTTACTTATGATAGTTTTTATGTCATCAGATGTAGATGAAAATTATTTAGGAACTTATAAATTATTTATGAAATTAAAAAAGATTTTTTTTTAATTTAGCTCCCAAGATTTTTTGTCACAACAATGGATTACCGAATTTATTCACGAGAGATTGAATTTATAAATCATATTAAAGGCACTGCTACACAGTAAGTCTAAATAAAAAATGTTTTTTTATTTTTTAAAAAGTAGAAAATTTAATTAATTTATATTATTATGGAATTAAATGATACTAAAATCAGCAGATTTTTGATAACTTTTTAAAATTGTTATTACAAATCAATTTTGATAAAAAAAAAATTTTTTTCATAATAATAATTTATTTTTTATAAAAATTAAAGAAATTGTAAGATGTCTGTGATTTCATTATGAAAAAAATTATGTATGATTTTTAAAAATATTTTTTTTAAATTATTGACTCACAGTATCATTAATTTATTTAAAAATTTCAGAGGCCTTAATAATTATATGAAACAAATATTACTTTTGAGAGTCGGTGGACATTTAACGTATGCGTACATAAAACTTGAAGTGCTAAAAATTACAATGCACTCTGAAGACAGTACCATTAGAGTCAGATGGAGAATTAGAGGCCTTTCAACTTATAAAGCGTTTTTCAATTTTTGGAAATTTAAGTGGTTGAAGTCTATTGGTGGTATCAAATCTCTAGAATCGTAAGTTAAATATTTATTTTTTTTCTTCAAATTTTAAGCTTACACTTATAATTTCATAAAAATTATTTTAGCAGATATTTAATCATTTTTTTAACAAATAAATTATGGCAAAAAAATTTTTTCAAAACAAATTTATTTGTTAATAAAAAAATAAAAAAATGATCAAGACTGTTAATTTTAATATCATTAAAATATTTTTAAATTCTCCAATTTTATAACAATGAATTACAAATTTTATCATAAATATATTATTTGACACTTCGATCACATCGTTTGTATCATCGGTTAAACGACTGTTTCTAACCAATACCATCACCACTAGTCTCTTGAAAATTTTATCATAAATATATTATTTGACACTTCGATCACATCGTTTGTATCATCGGTTAAACGACTGTTTCTAACCAATACCATCACCACTAGTCTCTTGAAAAGTTCAATTTTATTTCGTCTTGTAATAATTACTCTCAGAGACATTTTTCTATAATGCTAATAATTTAAACTTATAAAGTAAATGAAATTGATTTAATTTAAATTTAATTCTAATTAAATTCTAACGAAATATTAATGCTTTTTTTTTTTTTTTTTTTTTTTTTCCCACCTAAAACTAAATTTAATTGATGTAAACTTAATGTAAGGTAACAAACCCACTTGTTGACACTGGCCTAGTTATTGACACTAGCAATTTTATTCTTATTAAAAAAAACAATTCAACTCTAATAAATTAATGAATATAATTTTTGAATTACAAATTTCAAGATAATTGATTTTTTGGGAACATTTAATTCACTTAATTAGAATAAAATTGCAAGTGTCAAACAATTAGGTCAGTGTCAATAACTGGGTCTTTTCCCTTATAAAGCCGATTGGCGTTTAAATAAATATAATTATAGGTGGTACGATGGATACTCTGTATTTTCTGTCAACGCCCAGGGTCAAATATACAGACACGTAGCTGATAAAATGATGCCCGATGAAGAAATGACCCAAGACAAAGGAAAGCCAGACATCGCGGCTAAATTGGCTGCCTGATTCGGGCTCTCATAAGATTTAAACATCTTGTTGTTTTTCAACAATAAATTTTGAATCTTACATTACATTCACCTAGCATTTGAATTTACATTATTTCTTCTCAGTATCAAATCAGTAAATTCAATATTACTGTAATTTTTTTTTATTAAATAGTTTCGAACTTATTTATTTTGTATTTATTACAAGAATATTACGAAAATTTTTCATTAATCAGAGCATCAATTATTAAGTTCATTTAATATTAATACCAATAGAAAAATTAATTATAAAATATTGTTTTATAGCTTATTACTCTTTTATCAGTATAATAAATATGTTATAATTGAACCCATAGTGTTGTTTTTATTGACAAATTAAACCTGAAATAAACGAGTAAATAAATTTTTTTAGAACAATTACTGAGATTTATAGTTAGTTGAGATAAATTACCTAAATAATCATCCATAAGCGTTCCTATTGCAAACTGGAACGTAAAATAAATTTAATTAGTATCATAACAGGTAATGAAAAATTAAAAAAAAAAAAAAAAAATATAAGCAAAACTTACAATTCCTGTTGCGTCAACACGAGTACCCACTATTTTTAATCGTATTTCATCATCGGCTTGAATAACAACATCTTCTTCTTTGGATTTATAACATGGTGGACTTACATTGGGGCAAAACTGCATGTCAGCTGGTATGGACTGCAAGTAAAAATTTTAATTTTTAAAAAATTGATACAAGGCTAATAATTGAAAAATTCATTAAAAAATATATTTACGTGATGAGAAATAAAACATGAAAGAGGTCCTATCTCAGCAAACATTCCTACCTGAAATAAAAAAAATTTCATCATTTTAATTATTATTCTAAAATTAAAACATGATAATTTTAAGCAGTCATTAGAGAATTCTTTAATTTTTTTTAACAAACAAATTTGTTCCAAAAAATATTTAAAAAATTGCATTTTAGTGTTGAAATTAAAAAATATATATTTAAGAAGTAAAAAATAATAAAAATAGTTTACCTTGTTGACTTGAGTCACCACAGCATCTAAAACTTCACCTTTAAACGGCCTGAACACAATCGCCCTGTATTTAACAGGGTAAACAACGAAACCCTGGCCGGGTTGTATGATACCGGCGCCAATACTGTCAATCGTCGTGACAGCTACTACGAAACCGTACCTAGAAAGTAAAGTGTTGTTAAATTTCATTTTTAATTTTATTAAAATTTTTTAAACGAGTAGAATGATCTTACTTTCCGGTACATGTGCCCTCGACTTCAGTGTAAAGCTTCTGTTTAACTGTATCCAGGAGCTGTGGACCAAAGTAACGCGGGTGGAGCAAAATCTCGTGCTCGAGAGATATCTGTAAAAAATTAAAAATGGTTAAAGTGTTATGAAAATTCAATTAGCCGACATCTGAAATTTTTATTAAAAAAAATTGTTGCAACAAAATTAAAAGTAAATATTTCAAATGTAGAAGATTTGAAAAATTATACGTGCAATTTTTTTTACTTGCAATTTAATAAGTGAAAAAGGTAGAAAAATTTTTAAACGTCGGCTAACTTAAGTATCATTAAAGTGTTTATTTCATTTAGTGCAAAATTATAAATATTACTTACATGATAAAACATTTAATACAAATTTTTAGTTACTTGGTTGAAAATTAAGTTGTTTTAAATTTTTTTTTTTTTTATATAAATTTTGATTTGTATACAAACACTTGGTGGCTAGATATTTTGTTTTTTGAGGTTAAGGTCAGCGGCTCAGGAATTTTGGCGGAAGTTATCACCACAAGTGGCTCCCACGTATGGAGGGTAGAGGTACTTCTAAATTATTATAAATAAAAAAAAAAAAACAATTCATTATAATTTTTTTGGAATTGCTCTAACACACAGTGCCATTTTTGTTTATTTTTTACTTTGATATTAATTGTTTAATTAATACAATACTTGGTATAATTGTTTAAGGCTCAACTATTCAACTATTTGGTGAATTAGAATAAAATTACTTGTAACCACCATTTTTATTGGAGTATATAGTAAGACCAGCGCGACGCAACACGCTAACTTATATTTTTTATCTCTCTCTTGCTTGATGCTTCTTACTCTTTTCAATGCAATTTAACAATGAAAATTAATTTAGAAAATATTTAATAATTTCTGTAATAAATAAATTATGACAAAAAAAATTGACATGTAGAAATTTTTAAAAATTAAAAATGCAATTTTTTAAAAATAGTTTACTGGAACAAATTTCTTTGTTAAAGAAAATTAAAAAAATGTAAACTGACAGCTCAATTTAACATAATACTAAAATTAGCAGACATTTGACAATTATATATATATATATATATATAAAGAACGATTTTTATATAATCTACGTTACTTAAGGACTATAATTATTAATATTGAAAGTGAATATAATCCCATTAATAAAATTACATAGATACATAGATTGGTTGAAAATATTTATTCTCATTCTGACTGGTTGAAATTGAATATAATATACATAAAAATATTATGACAATAAATATGAGGCGCGCGCAAATTTGAATTCTAGTCCTTAATATAAAATTGAGATAAAATGTACCCTGATAGCCACACACTACTATAAAAATACTTGCACTTGTTGTGAATCCGAAAGGATTCATCACAACGCTCTCTGTATATTATTATAAAATTACGTATAAAAAGATGGCTGCAATAAATGATAGCGGGAAAAAACCAGTAAGATTAAAAATATATGTATTTTATATGTAATAGTATCGGTAAGAAAAATAAGAATAAGAATATTTAAAATATTGTGAACCTTTCTATTTTGAATTCTATTGTTAAGTATGGAAATTTTTCTATCATAAATTTTAGGGTATAGACAAATTTATAATTACCGGAAACTCACAAGGAAAAACTTATAAAAACTTTTAGTACTTTCTAGTTAGTTGAGACATGCTAAGAAAAATTTCTTTGTTAAAATAAACTTACATTAATTGTAATGGTCACTTAGAATAAGATGCTGAACGTTTTGGAATACTTTTTACAATACTGGGAAAAACCTGGAGATCTTTATTTATTTCTCTTTTTTTTTATTGTCATAATCCTTTAAGTAACTGAATTTCCAAATCGTTCGCTTAAAAAAGGGATTACTCGAGTACCCAGGACTAAAAACCAGACATCCATCATGCGAGTTGCATATAGCCTGGGAATGTCGAGTCGCCGTGACGTCATCGTAGCATAGTCCCATTTTTGCCAACTCGAGAAGGGATGCTAGCTGAGGACGGGAGTTGCTGAAGTGCACGTAACACTTATTGAATAATAAATACAGTCGACTCTGTCTTAAGGTTCCGTGGATACGCTCTCTAAAGGTTATTCCCCTACTCTTGAGTACTATAACCAATCAGAGTTAATAATTAAAGCGCGAGTTTTGAATGCCCATAAAGACTAATGTTTTCTATTGCGCACCCATTACGCAATGGTCATGTTCAGAGTGGGGAGAGAACCTTTAGGTAATGGTCCTGTCCCGACGTGGAACCGTTAGACAGAGTCGACTGTAATAGATTTGCGCGCAAGGTAAAATCTAAATTAAACCAAAATAATCTAAGTGTTATTTATTACCACTTTCCTGGCCACTTCTACGTCTAAAATAGTATACATACTCTGTAACTTCCTCACGAAGTGTCATCTCAACATTTAAATTCAAATTCGTACAGACCGAGACACTTACCGGTGACCCCCAGGAACTACAAACTCATAACTACTCCACCATCGAGTACAACGGCCGAATGGGAAAATACCTATAAAAATAATTAGAAAAAAAAATTGACATGTAGAAATTTAAAAAAATTAAAAATGTAATTTTTTACCCGTGTAAAAAAAAAATTGTCCCAAAATTGTCCCAAGCTTAAGACACCCAAACGTGACACAATTTGGGACAATTTTAAAATTTCTGTTTATTTTTAAAATGTCCCAAATTGTGTCACGTTTGGGTGTCCCAAGCTTGGGACAATTTTGGAACAATTTTTTTTTACACGGGTTATAAATAATTTTTTGGAACAAATTTATTTTGTTAAAAAATATTAAGAAATAGTCAAGTGACTGCTAACTTCAATGTCATAGCTGAAAACAAGAAATTTTTTAATTAATTTAATTCACTTACTTGATATTCATAACTGCAAATACAATTTTACATTTTGTCCGTTATAGAAATACAGTGAAAGCTGTTAAAAGTTATCGTAGTGCTGTCTCAATTTATCATAAAACGCTAACAAGAGCGAGAAAGACAACCTGAGTAACTTTTTAACAGGTTTCACTATAGCATAATATGTCACAATTAACTGATTAAAAAATTTCTATGTAACAAGTGTTTCAGATAGTTCATCTGGTAATGAGCTTGAGGCGTAATCGGTTGATCCGGGTTTGACTCCCTGGCTTAACTAAAAAATATTAGTTTTTTACTCATCTACGTAGTAATAGTATATTACACACCGAGAGAAGTAAAGTAAGAAATGTGTCAGATCACATTGGCCGAGGCGAAGCCGAGGTCAACAAACATATGATCTGAGGCTTTCTTATTTACTTCCCGAGGAGTGTATGCTATTTTTTTGCTATGCAAAAATGATAATAATTCTATTCACTAAATAAATTAACGTACTTAACATTGAAAATTATAGAAGATAATTATGAGCTGTGATAGAATTTAGTATTTTACAATAAACCTTATTATAATGTAATATAATTATAATTAATGCAAACAATTTATAAAAATGATTTTTGTTTATAAGTAATCTTCATATTATATGGCATTGCAAGTAAAATAAATTCACTCAACAAAATAATGATCAACGGTTAAATGTTAAAAAATATTTATTAAAATTTAATAATTGTATTCAAATAAATTAAATTATCAATAGTTAATAAATCCTTCTATCAGTCTTAGTTGAAAATTTGATTGCTATTTATTTTTCTTTTTCGTTAAAGAAAAATTTTTCAAAATAATTTATAGTCAAGCTTGACGTCAACTTTCATAGTCATCTCATTATAACTTTTAGCCAGCCCTCTACAAATAAATTCTTGTCAATAACTTTAGTTTAGATGTCGGTATAGATTTATTTGAATTTCTTGAGCAATTTTAGTACAGATTCAATACAGATTTCTGCAGTGAAAGATTTTGAGTGAACTTTGATACAACTTGGCTAAAATCCCGTCAGTTTAGGTTTTTTTGACTCAAAGTGTGACTATTATGGCTATATCAGAGATAATGCCGCAAATTATAGATAACTTGACGAAAAGTAGCTGGCAATAAGTTTTATCTACAAGTTATCGTAAAGTTATGGTCAACTTTACTTCAACGAATTGCATTCAAACAATTGTCGTTAAGTTACCGAAATTTTCTATTCAACTTGGTTATAAGCTTATATATAGATAATTTGTTTTTAAATATCGGCACTCTCTTATTGTCAACTTGTATATAAGGATGAGCATTTGTAGACTTGACGTTAACTTAACGATAACTTGTCGTTAACTTAACGAGATAACTTGACGTTAACTTAACGATCCCATAATAAAATTGAGATGAAATGTATGTGAAACCAATCTATTCGTGATGTGATTGGTTGAAAATATTTATTCTCATTCTGATTGGTTGAAAGTGAATATAATATACATAAACAACACATAAATATATCATGACAATAAATATGAGGCGCGCGCTTGCGCGCGAAAATTAAATTCTAGTCCCATCTTTACTTAAAAATCTTTAGACTAACAGAAATATATTTGATGATGCGTCTATTGTTCAACGGACCTTATTCAAACGTCAACTAAATACACTACTATGCATTATGTCAATATATGTATTTATATCTTCTAATGCAATAGTCAGCGTAGTAGGAAATTTCAAATTTCGCGTCATGCTGATTGTAAGGCTATCGTTAGTGTAAACAAGCCTTTAATCCCATATTTCCTAATATAAAATTGAGATGAAATGTATGTGAAACCAATCTATTCGTGATGTGATTGGGTCGAAAATAATATTCTCATTCTGATTGGTTGAAAGTGAATATACTATACATAAACGACACATAAATATATCATGACAATAAATATGACGCGCGCGCTTGCGCGCAAAAATTAAATTCTAGTAACTTATAATATGAGATGGCTATCAGGGTGAAAGCTCACATTAAGACTTGTATACAAAATATGCGGGTAGACATAAAAAACCCATAATCCTACTGACCAGATCTAGTATTGAAAACAATCCTTTTACCCAGATTGCGAATACCCAGGTTTCTAAAACTAAGGATATATTTTACCCAGGCATCCACAAACACAGAATTTCGGTAACTCTTGCAGCAGACGAGACTTATCAGTTGCTAAAGCTAGCTAAAACTAACTTAAACTTTTCTAACACAATAATTTAATAGCGTTGTAGAAAAATCTTCAACTTTTACTAACGAATGATAATAATAATAATAATAATAATTGGTTGAGAGAAAAGAGCTGCTAAAAAATGCAGCAGAGTTGTATGGTATTTTTTTAATGGATTTACCATATTTAGTTATTACAAATATTATTAATTATTTAAGTAACGAAGATTTAAAACTTTTAAGCCAATAATTGTATAAATGTATGTAAATAATACTGCAAATTGTAAATTTATTAACATAATCTAGATTAAATTTTTTTAGTGTAAATAATAAAATATTTTAGTTATTTATTAAAATAAAAAAATAAAATATAATAGTTATCAGCTCTTACTTATTGATTTTACTATAGTAAAAAATTTCTGACTTCTCGACTTATCTATAGGCTCGTTTCATTAACAGACCACTACTATTGGGAATTCATCGGCGAGTTACGGTTTTTTAACTGCAATTTATATGTTTTCGAATGACTGTCTAATGACCGATAATCGATTGGTTTATATCAGGATAAAAATGGATTGCTAACTTTAATTTCATTAATTTTTTTCAATTTTCACATGTTGAATTTTTTTTCAGAATGATTTCATTTAATTTACTTTTAACTTTACAAATAGTCAGAATAGCTTTCTAGGACCATAAAACTTTTAATTTAAAAAAATATTTGATTTTTATATCAGGAAATTAAAAATAGAGTTAATTAAGCAAAGAAATATTTATTTTCCACCAAATTTTGTTACATACTCTTTACATGAATTTTATCGTACACTCTAAATTTTAGGTTTTACAAGTGAAATTCTTTTTTGAGCAACGCTGAAGCAATATTTCGTTACACTGAAAAGATATGTATAAGTAAATACAAATTTCAAAGCAAAATTTATATCAAAACTTATAACTTTTTCTTCGCCCAAAAAGACAAAAAAATTGTTTTTTGATTGGGTATTGCTTATTAATAAATGTAGACAGACTACATTCAGCAATAGAAGATCTAAAATACAATATGGATTGTATCTTATTTCTGAAATTGACCGCTTCCGTTGAAATCTATTAACACAAATTAATTTTCAAGTTACATCAGTTGATAGAATGATACTAATTTATTTTTTAAAAGAAAATAAATACCTTTACCATTTGAAAACGATCATTTTACTTCACTGCAAGAGAACTTTACTGCATATCTGCAAAAAATGTTGATCAAAAATTGAACTTAAAATTGAATAAAAGGTTTATATAGTGAAAATTTAGAAATATTTTACCCGATGGTCCCATATCTGATGGTGATGGTCCGTGTGGCGATCGTTTCTTCATTTCTGTAAAAAAATTTTATTGTCAATTGAAATTGTGTTGACTAAACAATTTTATTGTAATGTAAGAGTTTGAAAATATTCTACTTGATGATGGTCCCATAGGTGGTGGTCCCATGTCTTGTGATCCCATTTCTGGTGGTCCCATGTCTCGTGATTCCATTTCTGGTGGTCCCATGTCATGTGGTGAGCGCTTCTTGCGGTCTTCTTCTGCGATTGAAAATTTTATTGAAAATTAAGAAACAAAAAAATTTGATGTAACTATTGATACAGTTCAAAAAAATTTGGTAATTATTTACAAGTGGGGTCCACCATTTTAATTTTTATTTTTTTGAACGAAATTTCTATTTGATTTTATTGATAATTTTTTTTGAAAAATACATAAAAAAATGAACAATTAAAAAAAAAATTGATTATTGCAATTTTAACAAATTTTCAAAAAAATTTATAAATTTTTTAGAAAATTGTGATATTCAACTTTATTTTTTTTTTAAAATTGTTCGTTTTTTACGTACTTTTCAAAAAAATATATATCAAGAATATAAAATAGAAATTTTATCAATTTTGAGGTTTTTTTCCGGTTCTATTGCACTTAAAAATTTTTCAAAAGTATGAAATTAATATCGATTAAATTATCTTGACAATAGTATGCAAAATGTTTTGATTCCGTGAACTAACAAGGCTATAATAATAAAAATAGTTGCCAAAAAAAATTTTTCGATCGTAAAGCACTCTGTTACGTCGTGGCTAAATTAACGTTTTTTATTTTTTTTTGTCTTAAAATAATACGAACTTTTATTAATTTTAAAATATATTTTTTTGGAAGTAAAATTTACAGCAGACACTAATAATGAGAAAACTCATTAAGTGTCTCGTCCGGTCTTGCCAAAAAAATTCCCGTCATTAGGCCATCTTATCTCTAAGGATTAAAAAGACCCTAAATACACAAGTAAATGGGAGTTTTATTGCCCTCTGTATTGACAGCATTTTGAACAAGAACCTTAGAGATTTTTAAACGTTAATAGGATTAAATTTAAGAGAACAATAAATTTAAAACTTTTAAAATAAATAATTTTAAATAACTAAAATTAATAATTAAATTGAACAACAAATTAAGAAATAATATTCACGTAAATAAGAAATATTTAAATAATTATTTAAAAATTAATAATATACAATTAACAACAATTGCATAAATAATTATGTGCGAAATGAATAACTAAAAGAAATGAATATTATCATTCATAAAACAAACTAAATAAATAAATAAGTTAGTAATAATTATAAATAAAATATAAGACTTAGTTAGAAAAACTATGTGTTTGTGTGCATGTAAATGTGCTTACACGTATACCAATACATAGATATATATTAGCCATAAGTAAGAGCGAATATCTTTAGAAAACTCGGAAGAGAGGGTAGAATCTAAGGGAAATAGACAGCTAATTGGATACTGTTTTCCCCCAAATAGTAATTTGGAAACGCCCGAAAATTTGAGTCCCAAAAGAACTTCGCATAAACTCTCTCTCGTCGTCCTGAGAGTTTATTTTAAAGTAAAATCGTAGTAATATTTTAAATAACTTTTGTCTAAACTTCAGTAAAATTAAATAAATAATTAACCTCGTTAAATAATAAAATATTAATTAATCAAAGAACCACGTGTGTCAACGTAGCAATAAAGGTATGTGTTTGAACTTATTGTAGTTTCACATGTGTTCGATTCTGAATTATTAATATAAATCTGAAAAATAATAGAATTTTTGTAAGAATTAAACATTTAACTTTTGTAACTTATATTAATTTTTAATATATTGAATAACATAAATTTGAAGCGAAATAATTTACTTAAAAACAATAAACCAATATCCTTTCATAATACTTCTGGGTTCCCGATCTAGTGGTTGAAAAATACCAGGATCAAAATAAATTTAATAATTTACGTTCAACGATTTGGACGTAACAACTCTCTGATGCTTCGCATCATAAATCGTGCAATTTTGTCTCGGTTCATGAAATACTTTTCGATTGTATATAACAAATTTTATCAAAAATTCAGTTCTTTTTTGGTGAATAAAAATTATAATTAAAATTGAATTTACCTGCTAGTACGCTGGCAACCAGCAGAACAGCTACGAAAGCCATTACGCCAAAAGTCTTCATAATTGGAAGTTCCATTGTGAATTCAATTCTAAATGAAGAGAAAGAAAATTATTGATAATCCACGAAGAGTCCGGGCTCTTTTTATACTGTGTCCAAGTCGGTGCAATTATACCGATAACATATTTTTTTTATCGGCTGACCTTGTTGGTATCCCTCATAGTTTGTTGAAATTTTCCACTCCGCCATAATTGCGATGTTTAGAAAATTGTCATTATTTATCGTTACCTTTTCAAGTATCAAGCGATAAAAAAGTATAGAAAAACAGTAATGAAAATAATTGCCGCAATTATGATAAAACATTGGGGAAAGCGGCTGACCCTGTAACTTATCACTACTTGCAATGAAATAGGTTCATATATAAAGTTTTCTTTGTTTATTAATTAAAAATTGCATGCAATATACTAATAATTAAACTGCAAAATTTCTTGAAGGTATAACAAAAAGCGATCCAACAAAAAATTTAGGATTGTTAAATCAAAGTTTGTGAATAAAAAGGCTAAATATTTTGTTAAGCATTATAATACAATATTAATTCATTAAAATTACACTAATATTAAAGAGGAATTTCAAGCTTAGAATTTAAATTCTTACTGGTCGTAGATTAATTAAAAAAAAAAAAAAAAAAAAAAAAAAAAAAAATGAAAGAAAGATATTCTCTTCAAAATTTCACAATTGTTTTAAGATATTTAGTAATCTTAATCGAAGAAATTTACTCTTCAATTAAAAACATAAAACTTTTAAACTAAGAATTAAATAGAAAATTCTCCTTTTAAAAATCTACTTCTTCAATAAAGCATTACTGTCGTAAAATAAGATACTTCATTTAAAGATTCAATTCTCTTGGATCAAGTTAGGCGATTGCATTGATTCACAAATTTTTGCTAATTGTATAACTCGATTTCAATATTAATTAATTACACCTTAATAAAACTGGCTGGTAGGAAAGTAAAAAATGTACAAAATTTTTTGGAAAGTTGATAATAGTTGGGAAAGAAATTTTTTTGAGATCCAAGGGGATGAATTTAGGAACTGATTAAGACGATAAAGGGTCAGGTGTTGAGTAAAAATAAATTTTTAATTGACATATACTCTCAAGGTGCTCGGCAATAAATTACAATAATTAAAACATAATACTAACAACACTGCAATATATTATTATTATCATGGATAGTTTTATGCTTAAACTTAATTCAAATCCAACAATATTTTATTAACACTTCAAAGTTAATTGACTACATTCATTTTTGTAAATCGTTTATTAAATAATTAAATCACAAATTTTTTAGTTGTATTTTTAAGTAACTTTTGACTATTTTTTTATGAAAAATAACGCGGAAAAAAGAGCAGTTGAATTTTTATAGCTTATAGTGTAAATTGTAATAGTGAATTTAGTGAAAGGACAAACTTTTTAAAAAGTTATTGATACTAAAACTGAGTGCTAAAATGGGAAACATACTGAAAAGCTTATACACGGAAAAAAATTACAATTTTAGCATCTTAATTTAGGACCTTAATTTTACACAGAAAAAAAAATTAAGTTGAATCAATTGAATAATTTACTGTTTGTTGAATTTATCGATTTTACCATCCACTTCAATTTGTGCACTATTACCTTACGTGTCAATTGTTTATTTGTTGGGAAGCTATATATGTATTAACTATAGTTACGGTGGAGTCACTGTAATACTCCAATTTAACGTAATTACCGGTTACCTACACAAAATGTAGGACACGTTAGGAATAAAAGACTCTATAAGTATCAGAAAAATTAAACCAAGTGCGGTACAAAAAAATTTTAAGGTCAAGAGCGGCATGATCTAGGTGCTTTTTAAATATCGCAATTGAACGCGTGCAGAAATTTCCATTGGTTAATCGCTATACGCGCTTTATTTAAATTAGATTTAATGTGCGCGCTTTACTTTAAGTATAGAATTACATATATTTTTATGTCTATGATATATTTGACCAATCACATTACGAATAAAATGTCTTTATCAATGTATATATTTTCATATTTTTCATCTAAATTATAAGAGTGGATTTGAATGTAATATGCGCGCGCAAGCGCGCGTCTGAATAGAGTTTACATATATTTTAATGCTTATGATGATATATTCGACCAATCACATCACAAATAAATGGGCTTACGTACATTTAATCTTTATTTTAATATTAAGATAGATAAATCTTAATTTTATCATAGGATAAATTAATTAATTAATTAATTAATTAATTAATTGTGAATATCGCGCATAGAGGGATTTTCAATTTAAAGTGTAAAAAATAGAAAAAAGTATTTATATAGATTATATAAATATATAGATCTATAAATTATATTATTTATATAGACTATTTTTGAACCCAACATCTTTTGATTTGGCTAAAAGATTTTCATCCTTTCTTATTCTATAAAAAAAAGTTTATCAGAATTTTTCCAAATTTCTTTTTACCCAACCAAATTATGAATTATTTTCTTAAATTTTCAAATTTTTTTCTTTAAATAGCTAGAACTTTTTAAAAATTTCATTTATTTGGACTTTTTTTTCAAAATTTTTGTTTTTAAATGCACTTTTTAAGACAAAATAAAAAAAAAAAGTTCAAACCTATCTTCGTCGTTATTTTTTAAATTTTCATAAAAAAAATATCAAAAATCTCTCGATGAATATCATTTTCGATTTTTATAAGTGATAACCTTAACTAATGTTCACTTCAAACAACTGCTTGTTCAATCTGAACGCTGCGTAATATGCTTAATTTCATTGTTTATTCCACTCATTATAACTCATCAAATGTCATTAACATATAACTTAAAAATTAGTAAATAAATTAAAATGAATTATTAATCTTTACAAATTTTATTTAATTGAAATATTTACACCAACTTGTTTATCGTTAAAAAGATTTTTTTCCAAGATACCAGACTTTTTGAGTCTAATTGAATAATTGACAAATAAGTAAGTAAAGAGGTTATAATTTTTGTCTCGATAAATTACAAGAAATTAACAAATTAATGAATTTTTACAGGACTGGAAATATTTATAATTTTATTTTATTTAATCTGTGATAGTTAAAAATTGTAAAGGTGATGGACAAGAGAGAGTTAGCATCGTCTTCTATTTTACGCAGTAATTAAATACTAATTATTCTTCAATTTTAACACAGTATTAGTAATTAATTAATTAATTACTAAAGTAATAATTTATAATCAGTTACATTAATTTCGCATATTGTTATAGTGTTAGAAATGAATCACGATAATATACGCTTTAATGAAGATAAATACCAAGACAAAAGTCATTCCGTAATAACACTGAGCCGTGAGAAGATAGCAGAGGTCGGATCGATGAGTGAACAAAAACATGACTCGATGGACAATGAAACCGATAAAGCGCAAGGATTAAATTATCTTGAAAAAGAGAACTTTGAAAGTGAAATTACAATTATGGATGATTCCGAAAGTTATTCTGGAGACAACGGCAATGTCGATACTGATGATTACCTAATCTATCAAAAATCTAACATCGCTGATTATCTTGTCAAACAGAATGAGTTTATCAGCCTCTCTTATTATGTCGAGGATTTTGAGTCGATAATTAATGAAAAAATCGGAGCTGAAGAGCTTAATGCAGAAAATTATGACAGTAATCAAATGTTTGAAGAAAATGGATCAAAGTATCACTGCAAAAAGTGTGACAGGACATTTGATGTCTTCAGTAAGTGTATTTAATTCAAAATTATACTATTTTATTATTTATTATTTTTTGTGTATTATAAATTAATTAAAATTTAAATTGTACTTCAACAGAATTGTTTGAAAAGCATATACTTTACCGGCACACAGGATTTAAGCGTCACCAGTGTAAAGAATGTGACTACGCAACTAACAATTTGTCACACCTGAAGCGACATATCAAGACACATGCCGAACAGCATATCACTCACAATTGCTCACATTGCAATTTTACTTGTGAATCTTCGCGTAGTCTCAAGAAACACGTTTATACTCACAACAATCTTCGTCCTTATAAGTGTCCTTCTTGTCCATATGCGAGCGCTACTCTCAATCATTTGACTCGACACAAGCTCATTCATTCCTGATTGTTCTGGATGTTTATCTTAGTTTACAATCTGCTTTCGTTTTCTAAGATGTGTTAATTACTTGTTTGAATATTTATTATTATATATTAATCAGAGATTGATAGACTTCATAGAAGAAAAATTATGCATGAAGAAAAATAATTTGAAGAGTTATACAATAATTTATTATTTCGTAAGAAAAATATGATTAGTTGTATTATTTACGTTTTTATTTTGTACGCAACACAATCCATCATAATAAACATATTAGTTCACTATTTCTGTAACTAATGAAGAATATTTGAATAAAGACTCAGCTATTTTGAAAAAATTTTTAAATCTTTTATACGGAAAGAGATTTTCTTTAAGGACGTTCATAGACAAGAAAAAGACACCACTCATGTAAAATATCGAAAGACAATAACTTCAAACATTTTTTATAAAAAAATGAATACTGCTCGTTTATATTATTTTTGATAAAAAGTACTTGTTATATCTTCAATTAATGATTCTCAGTTTTTTAAAACAATCTTAAGAAAAGTATGATTGATATTTAATAAACCGTTCGCTTGAACGTCGGTTATCATAGGGTTTGTATGTAAAACATCCAAATTTCAAAATTTAATACTGCATATGAGTATAAATACTTAAAATTTCGACAAAAATTTTAAGAAAACAGTTTTTTTTTTGGAACGTCCTTAAGAATTACCTTTAAATTCATTGTAACAGTGGGACATAATGCGGCTCTTTTATTTATTACCATTTTTAAATAAAATTTACGTAAAAATTTATTTATTTCTTAATGACACATCTTTTATATTATTTTTTCTGTAAGTGTCCTAAGAGCAATTTAGTTTTCTATTAGGTAGGCCTGGATACTCTAGACAATAGAAAAGTGAATGACAATGCGTATTGTGATAACTGTCGATTTTGCGCACTTAATGTCTATAGAGTAATGAGCAGTAATTCTAAGAACTTTGTCATTAAGTATACTCATGAAAAATATCTATATATACTGTATTATATTATCCTACATATAATATATCTATAATACGACAGCGGAACTAAGGTTTGTACATTTCAATCGTCTACCTACCTTCATACAGGACACATCGTTCAAATACAAATAAGATATTTTCCAGTGTGACCTTAAACGTTTATCAAGTCATAGATTTTTCAACCTCAAAAGTAGATACGTTTAACATTTTAACACGTGGTCAGTGAGAAAATATCAAGAATAAAATAAGTGAAATTTATCATCTAAAAGTGTGTAGTTACTGTTTTTAAAGAATTAATCACGTAATTAAAAATGCAATTGCACGAAGAAGTGATTGATTTTGCCGAGCACGGTGAAAATAAAAACGTGGAACTACCCGAGTCTATTGAAAGAGCACTGGAGCTAAAAAATGAATTTTCTGAAGAAACTCCAGTGGATTCTAAATTAACTGTGACAGTAGATAGTGGCGATTCTTCAGTAAAATTAGTGACGGATGACCAAGATATAGATGGCAACAATAATCCTTCTAAGAAAGCCCACAAGAAGAAGATAAAAAGAGGTAAGAGGAAGAAGCACAATCAAATTAAATTTACCAGTGAAGAAAAAGTGAACAATTTAGAAAAGTCCGAAGCTAAAGATGCTCCAGAAGTTGAGTATGTTCAAGATTTGCCAGAATTGAGTGACTTAGAGCCAATGTACCGTCAGTTTGCTTCAGTTTTTGAGAATTTCCGCTTCGCCAAGCCTGAAGAAGTCACCGAGGAGCTTCAGCTTCCATTGGTTGCTCCAATAGATGAGCCAGGGAAGGATTCTGACGACGAGGATCCAAAGCAGACTAAACAGCCAGATGAAAATGAAGCTACATTATCCAACCGAAAGCTTAAGCAGCGCTCACGTCCTAGCATTGCCCAGTTAAAGCGACTAGTGAGCAAGCCTGATGTTGTCGAAATGCACGACGTGACTGCTCGAGATCCTTTTACGTTGATACAACTGAAGGCTACGAGGAATACAGTTCCCGTTCCAAGACATTGGTGCTCTAAGACAAAATACTTGCAGCGGAAAAGAGGAATTGAGAAGCCGCCATTTGAGCTTCCAGATTTCTTGAAGCGTACTGGTATCACGGAGTTAAGAGCGACTCAGCAGACCATTGAAGCGGATAAAACGTTGAAGTGCAAAATGCGTGAAAAAGCGAGGCCGAAAATGGGCAGAATTGACATCGAGTATGAGAAACTCTACGACGCGTTCTTCAAATGGCAAACCAAGCCCCGGATGACTATTCATGGAGACCTTTACTACGAGGGCAAAGAGTTTGAGACGAAGCATTTGGACAAGAAGCCTGGTGTGCTGTCTGAAGAGTTGAGGGTTGCTCTAGGAATGCCTTCGGGTCACAATCTTCACAAATATCCGCCTCCATACTTGATTCAGATGCAGCGTTACGGACCGCCGCCCAGTTACCCGAATTTGAAGATTTCTGGGCTGAACGCGCCTTTGCCAGAAGGATGCGCCTTTGGGTACCATGTTGGAGGATGGGGCAAGCCTCCGGTTGATCAAGCTGGAAGGCCTTTGTACGGAGATGTCTTTGGTGTTTATCAGGAAGCTGAAGATCAAGTTGAAGAAGCAGATCGGAAATTATGGGGTGAGCCGGAGTCAGAATCTGATGAAGAGGAAGATGATGAAGATGATGACAAGGACAATGGCAATGACAATGAGGACAATGAGGAAGCTGATGCCAGTGGTCTTGAAACCCCGATTGCTGAAAGCGTCAGTGATTTTGAACCAACCACTGAGGACTTTGCAGCTCCTGATGATGCGATCGAGTTGAGAAAAAAGAAGATTGAGAAGGAAATGGAGAACCGTGATTTCCAGTCTTTGTACACTGTGCTCAGTGAGCGCAAAACTGAAGGCTTAGGGGCCAGTATGATGGGTAGCACTCATGTTTATGATATGACTGGTGCTGGTGGTCAGGTTCCGCCCTCGGTTTTATCTGCTCGAAGAGGCGCTTCCGGGGGGGAAAATATGAAAGCTAAGAACGGTGTTGAGCTTACACTGGATCCTAGTGAGCTTGATCTCAATCAAGAGGCCATGGCCTCCAAGTACGAGCAGACTATGCGGATTAGGAATGCTGGGTCCAGGCAAGAAGACATGTCTGACTTGTTGCAGGAACATTTGAAGCGGCAGAAGGGTCAGAATAAGAGAAAACAGCCTCAAACTTTGGATACCAAAGCTGTGAAGAAATATAAAGAGTTTAAGTTTTGATGTTTTTATTTAATTTTAATTTTGATGTGAAAATTTTAAGCATATGTTTGAATAAATTGAATAAATTTTATAAATATAACAAATTTTTGTAATTTATTTTTTGGTTTGGTGTTATAAGATTTTTTATTTAGCGAATGTCAGATTTTTTTGTCATGACAGTACACACTTAAAATATTTATATTCTGGGGGACTTTATCATTGTATAAATATCTATAATTTCTCCGCCTACCCTCTACATATTTACTAACTCGTCCATTGAAGCAACGAGTAAAATCGCGCCAGAAGAAATTTATTTTGACGGGAAGAAATATTTTTCGAATTTATTTCTTTTGAAAGTAAAATGAAGTCGGTTTTATTGCTGATTGCGTTAATTCGGGTGGTATTAATGAATACAATAAGTTTACCTCAAGTTCAGTACGAATTAATGGTTGTAAAAGTGATATTTTGGTGAGTTTTTTTTTTTTATAAATACTATAGTATACAATTTATCGACGTTCTAATGAGCAAATTGTCTAACTCCATTTTAGAGAATCTTCCATTTCTACGAAAATACAATTAGTTCAAAATTTATTATCACTTTAGAAAACCCTTTAGTATTTAATAGAGGCATAATATTTTGGTTAGGATCATTCAAATAATTTATAATTGGACTATTACTACATCAAAATGTTAAAAAAATCACCCTCTAAAAAATAAGGAGTTAGACCAATTGCTAATTAGACCGTCTAAAAACCTGATATTATCAAAATTACACAGTTATTCATCATCGATCAAGTATTTATCGTTTATAATCGTCCGATAGGTTGTTTGATAGCAAATGAGGTAATTAATAAATCTGGTTGGAATCAGGCTAGAATGTCAGTTTTTCTCTGCTTGGATTCAAGGAATAAAATCAAATTATACCCTTATTGTCGGTACGCGAAGAATACACCTCGCTACTGGAATCAAATTAAAGGAAATTCTAGTTCCAATGATCTTAGGACTTATCACAAAGGTAAAGTCCAAAGTTTCCATACTACAATTTTTAACGACGATATTTCACTAAATACTGTAATTTTTCGTCAATAGATGTGTGCCTAGGTCTGCGTTCAGATCAAATTCAAAGTTCTGATGATTTTCATTCATCATCATTAAAAGTTAACGCAAGAAGCGATAGATATTCAAAAATTCGACGATGGCTGCAAAATGAAGTAAACATTAATGATAAAAATTTTGGATATTATCTCAGGCCAAATGAAGCTGAATTGTTGAAAATACTCTTAAAAAAAATAAATTTTACGTTTGCATTCAGATGATATGATGAACAAAAAGATTTAAGCATTGTACTGAGTAGTAACTTTGATGAAGAGGTTACAGATTTAAATTTAGCTTTTCATTTTGATCCTCGACCGAGTTTCACACATGCTTATGAGTTGTCGTCACCTATATCAACGAATACATGGTATTTTATCTCATCACCTAAGCATCATCATCGTATTTCACTGCTGAAAAAATTCATCCAGCACTATGGAGTTATTATTGCAATACCTTTGGCCATTGCGTTAACGATCGTATGTGTAATTATTTACATTTTTGTGAAGAGAAATCTATCGTTTGCACTTTTGGAAATACCACGGCTGCTAATTAACTCGTCTCTTGAGACTCGACTGGAAAGTAGCTACAAGCAAGTCTTCTTTGTGACAGTCTTTTTTAACTTTTTCTTGTTCCACAACATTTTTCGAGCCTACTTTGCAATAACACTACTGACTGGTACAGAGTATCGGAAGAATTTTGAAAGTATTGAAGATCTTAAAGCTCAAATCAATTTGATCAATACAGATTTGATTGTTCCTCAAATTAATAGCGATCCGAATCTGGATGATAAATTCCTGGTGAAACACTCAGGATTTGAAAGTTGTGAATCTGTTTTTGAAAATTATTATTCAGTTGGTTGTATTCGCGAGTTTGATAACATTATAGATGAAGGCGTACCCAGTAAATACCATTTTTCTCAAAAACCTGTTTTTACTACACATCGATTTTTGATAATGTCCCGCAATTGGCCGTTTACACAGCGTGTCAAAAATGTTGTTACGAGCCTTATAGAAACAGGACTTATAAAAAAATGGAATCGAGATGCTTCTGGAGATTTTTTTGAAAAATTAAAATCAACTACTTCAAGACCGTTAGTCGATTATGAACCAATTATTTATCAAGACTTGCAATTCATTTTTGTTATTTTGGTATTTGGATATTGCTGTGCAATTATTTGTCTTGTTGTTGAAGTGTTTCTTGATTATTGTTTCCTTTAATTGAAAATTTTATGCTCAAACGATTTATGATATATATTATACAACGTAAAAATAATTTTGTAGAATAACGAAAGACGGAATTACAGAAAAATACGATGTAGTAACATATGAGCTTACTTAAAATAATAATAAATTAATTAGTTCTTCTAACAAAGTGAACCAAGTTTCAACAAATTAGTTTTTTATACACAGAAAAAAAAATTTCTTGAATCAAGTAAATTTTACTTAATTCAAAAATTTTTCGTCTTGATTTAAGAATTTTTCTCTTAATTCAATTTAATTTTTTTTTATGTACTGCTAAATCAATTTCTTGTCTTTTTACAAAAATTTTTTTATTGTTATAACAATATCTATTTGTTGTTACAACAAAATTATTTCGTTATCATTACTTAGCTGATTTTTTTGTAATAGAATTTATTTTTTGCCTTAACAAAATTAATTTATTGCTATAACAAAATTAATTCGTTGACGTTACTATTAATAGTTATTTTAAAAAAATAATTTAGCTACGTGAACAATAAAATTGTTTACACAAATTAATTAGTTTATGTTAATGCAACAAGATATTTTTTTTTTTAAACCAACAAAAATATTTTTTATCCCTTTGAAAAGTTCTGCTACAATAACAAAACTGTTTTGTTAATATAATTAATAATTTATTACAACCTGTGTTTTGTTATCATATTATAAGATTTGTTAACCCTATGTTATGATATTTTTTTATCACAACTTGGTTTATGTTGTCTCAAAAAAAATTTTTTTTCAACCAAAGAATAAATAGGCTAATCAAGATGATTATTGGGATTTTATTTTATTTCTCTTTCGTCAATTAAACAAAAATTTACATAAATACTTTTGAAGATAGTTACAAAAATTAAAGGACTTTTTTTTTTAGAAATTAAATAGTTTATAAAAAAATGAATTTTTTTAAACCCTAAAAAAAATTATCTACGATTAATCGACAATAAACACTTTTGCTACTATAAAAAAATTAATTTAATGTGTTTTTATTTAATTACAGCATGTAAAAGAATATCATTGATATCAAAACTTAGAGTAAAAATCTTTTTAAAATTTTGAGGTGTAAAATTGAGTAAATTTTAAGAATTTATTAAGTGAACTTAATCCATTTATTTCTTTATTTGAATAAAAAGTATTTGCATTATCTTTCTAAAAATAATTAATAGCAGGCTCTTAATTTTCAATTTGAGAAATATATATCGATGTATTTTTATGATAAATACGTAAAATGCTGTCGAGATTCAACTGAAACGGGCGGATGTAAACTTTCGTATCATCAGAAATAGTGTATTGATTGTTAAGATCAATTACATCGCATCCAGAAAATTCTTTATCGTCTTCGATTTTGATTTTTTGAGTAACAATTAATTTGTTATTCTTGTAAAATACCGCAACGAGTTTGTTACGATCAAAAACCGGTACCTCAATAGTTATTATATCTTCACTATTTGCGGAAACATACAAAGGAGGTAAAGGTTGATTATTTCCCCTGACTTCTTCGTGTATTTCTTGATAAACATGTATCGATTTATTTTCATAAAATATATTTATATTCTTCATTCGGTTAATTACCGTCAGATCAATTATAATCTTTTCATAATCAGGCACGATTTTTTGGATGTTATATTCAATCGAAATGTTTTTTCTCGTAAATGTTGATTTGTCAACTAGTTGAACGACTATTTTATTATTTTTAAATGAAACTTCAATCGCTTTCTTGCTGTAAAATTCCCTTGGATTTATTAATTCTCTGAAATCTTTATTTGCAGTCATATAAAATTCTAGCCATTTTCCATTTGAAGTCAGAGGGTCATCTTCTTCTTCAAGTAGCGGGTTTGTAAAGTTAGGTTTGTTGTACAAGCACGAAAATGTAGAATTTCTAAAATAAATTCATTGATTTTAATCTACGCTGACAAAAAAAAAAAAATTATTTTGAGGAAAATTAAGCAATTTTGTAATAAGAAATTTATTTGCTGAAAATTTTTAACTATTTTATTTCTTAGCTGAAAAAATAAAAATTTTTTTAGAGTAACTTTCTTGTTGGACAAAAGTTTTCTAGATTTAAGAAAAAACAATTTTGGATTTTAAATTTTCAACAATTTAATTTTTTATCACAACAATGCCCATTTTTTTCAAAATAAATTTTATCTCTGTATATCTATATAATTAAGAGAATAATAAAAATTTTCTTTCGCGTGTTTATTTAATGAAATGGATATTTTAGCATGATTTTATTGGTTTCATCTCTATTTAAAACACACGTTAAGCTAAAAAGTAGAAAATAAATAATAGTTTAAAAAAGTAAAAAAGACGCTCTAATTAAGACGCTCTTTAAAATAAGAATAGAGTTAGTTCAACAATTTACATCAAGCTGAAAAATTTCGTGGATTATTTACCTGGAAAGTTGATGCAAAATGTTAGTTGAACATTCAGACCAATTGGTATTGAGGTTTTGTATACTGCTCGATAGTACAGCCCGAGGAATGATACAATTCTTATTTTCGATCTTGTGGTGTCTAACACCTAATCTAAATTTAAATAACGTCGTTGTTATAATTAAAAACAAAAAGATGCTATAGATTCGTTTGATAATTCACATTAATTAACTTACGAATGAGCCATTTCATGAGCAGCAGCATTTATGTTTGTAACATAACTTTCTTCGTACAAAATAATAAATCGGTATAATTTTTTTTCTGTTTTGTTTATATGACAAGCACCTCCTGGAATTGCTTTGCCGTATGTGGTATAAAAGTCATATCTTTCATCTTGTTTTCTTGAGATATAAAATAAATTAATGTCATTTAAATTAAATAGAATTTTTACCGGTAAGAATGTTTTTTTTTACGGCAATCAATAAATTTTTTCTTGAAAAATTAATTAGGACTAAGAAAATATTTTTTAAACATTGTGTTCTTAATTTTCTTTGTAATACTTGATTAAAAAATTTGAAAAATTATTAGATGTCTATTTTATAAGTATGACGATGAATTTTATTATCCATACTTACGTTGTTGATATTACAAATATATCATAAGTATCTGGTGGAATAATATTTTGTCTACTGAATAAATATGCGGATACGTTGAAAATAGTTTCTCCGTAGTTTATATAAGATGTTTCTTCATATTTATAATGATTGCCACTCATATAATGAATAACTTTCTCATCCTACATAATTTAGATAATTTAGATGGAAAAAAGAAAAATACAAAAATTACATTTTACACAGAGATAAAAATTAAGTTGACTCAAGAGAAAAAATCTTAAAGTAAGAAAATCATTTTTAAGAAATTCATGATCTTGAATGAAATAGAAAAATTTTTGAGCCTTAAATCACAATTTTTTCTCTTGACTTAAGGTATCTTTTTTATCGTGAAAAATTACAGATTAATCTTATCATTTTTTCATATACGGTGAAAATTAAATTTTAAAAATTTTACTTTTACAGAATAAGCGAAAAATATTTGATCTAAATCTGTAATTTTCTATATCTTTATATAAAGCGTCACGTTACAGTGTAAAATGTAATATTTGTATTTTTCTTATTTTCGTAAAAATAATTGCAAAGGTTAAATAAATTTTTTACTTGAAATTAACATAAAAAACTGAAAGTGTAATTAAATTGTTTTAATATAAAATTATACAAAGTTAAAGACCCAGTTATTAATAGTGGTCTAGTTATTGACACTTGCAATTTTATTTTAATTAAATAAAAAAAAATAAACTCTAATAAATTAAAAAATAAAATTTTTTAATTATAAATTTTAAGATAGTTGCTTTTTTGAGAAAATTTTAATTTTTTTAATTAGAATAAAATTGCAAGTGTCAAACAACTAGGCCAGTGTTAATAACTGGGTTTTTTACCTTTTTCATATTATTATGAAAATATGAATAAAAAATTTTTAAAAGTCAAAGTTATTACTTGAGCTATCATGATCCCGCTGATGTTTATTACTATTTCCGGATTTCTCAATGGCCGAAATATTATATTAACGATATTCCAAAACGTTAATAAGTAAGGAAACAGTAGTTGGTTTTTGTTGTATTTTGCATACATTTGATAATCAATTATCAACAGCAATTCCGGATAAACCACTTCAGGTATTGATTGTAAATTTTCATTCAGCACTGGAACTAAATATACAGAAAAAAAAATTACTTGAACAAGTAAGAGATTTTGAAGAACTTCATTTTCTTGACTTGAGTAGAAAAATTCTTAACATAAGACATTTTTCTTGTTTTAAGTAAATTTTACTCTCAGTTCGAGAATTTTTCTCTCGATTCAAGTTAATTTTTTTTAGCGTAGTAATCATTGTTAAGATAATATTTTTTTTTAAATAAAAAATTGCAAGTTTACCTTTCACAATTTTATAAGTCTCATTGTGAGCGCGAGCTAAATAGTGACTTCGACTAGAGTAAGGAAACCAATTCGCCACTGGTTCAATTGTAAAGAGTTCACTTCCAATATAACCGAACTAATTAAAAATCAAAATTATGGTAGCAATAATTAATATAGTTGCGTAAGTATAAACAAAATAAATGAATTTTTTTACTTGAATTTGTTTTGATCCATTAGAATAAATTTTAACATAAATTGATGTAAATTCCTTTTCATCTTCATACAGTTCCCATTTTTCCTCACGAAATATCTGAAATATATAGATTGTATGCAATTGTATTTTAGCTTTAAAATATGACATTGAAATTAGCAGAAACTTGATAACTTTTTTTTTTCTCAAAAAAAAATTTGTTTTAAAAAAATTATTTAAAAAAAAAAACTGCATTTTTTCTTGCTATAATTTATTTGTTAAATAAAAACTAAAAATTATCAGACGTCTTTTAATTTTAGTATCATTTTAAAATTATCAATATTCTTTTATTGGTAATCTACAAAAGTAATTAAATTAATTAAGCTTACATGTGTTTTTACTTTTAGCCGTAAAGAATCATACTGAGTGTCTAAATAATACACAGGAGTGTTAGGTCCCACCAAAAAATTTTTAGACGGCACAAGGTTAAGATTTATAAGTTTACCAAAAATATTTATTGGAAACGAAATTTTATTATCAATTGATCTTTTTTTCACATGAGGCCATTCGATTTCCAGAAGATCACATTGTCCTACTAGATTTAATGGAGTAAAAAAGTTTTATAATTATTATAAATCTCGTACACTGAAATTCATTTAATTGAAGTTCTTATTCCTAAAATTATTTATTACATTGAACTTTAATAGTTATTTAAACTATTTTTATTAAATATGGGCTTAGTAGTCATCATGATTAATTTTAACTCAGAAAGCAGAACAAATAATTTAGTCAGCCCGGACCGGGAATCGAACCCGGAATCTTTTGGTTGCACACTAAGGGCTCTTCTAGTTCAGCTATCTAAGACATCATCAGTAATAACATATCAGTCACGTAATAATTTATTGTTTAATACGACAACAGAAAAATATTGATTATTAAGTAAATATTTATAAATAATTACTTTAACTGATGCATAGTTCGAGTAACTACAAAAAAAAATTCAGAAAACTATATCAGTGTACTATTCATATTTTTAATACTTACTTAGACACTCGTTATCGATAAATTTCTTAATTTTTTCATCTACTGGCATTAATCTGTTCAACTAATAAAATAAAAAAAATGCTGTTAAATTCACCTTCACTTGAAATGAATAATAAGTTTTATTTTAAAAAATACTTCACACTTACTGATGTCGCAATAACAAAAATCACAAGGTAAAAAAACATCCAGGCCGTAATAATATTTTTATCAAAATCTAAAAAATAAAAATTTCAAAATGTTAATTAATTAATTTAAACGAAAATTTTTATAAATTAACCGAAAAAATTTCTTCAATTGAATAAATGTAATGCATACACATGTTGCATCCGTAATTTGTTTAAAATTTTTAAAAGTATGGAAAATTTTATAAAATAATTTAAAGTTTTTTAACGACTTATTTAACAACTGTAGCAAACGTACGATAACAAATGAGCACTGTAATTTTGATGGGCAAAGTGAATTACATTGGTTTAAAAACAATTAGAGCATAAATAGATACGATCATGATATTAAGTCGTAAATCAAAATTCAGTCTGTTAAATTTAATAACACAACAATAATTTAGTAAACAAATGAAATTATTTTTTGTAAATAAAATCACGAAAATAAAATATGTATAGGTAATAATTATTTCAATAACGTAAAAGATTATTTAAAATAAAAAATAATGTGCAATGTAATTTTTTGCAAGAAATAAATTTAAAATAAATTATTCAAGTAATATTGCATTAAATATAAAGGATAATACCTCCAGTTTCAAATCCTAGGATGTAATTAAAAAAAAATTAAATCCTACAAAGACGCTTAAATCTACAAATTAAAAATCCCTACTTTAGTTTCAGTATCAATCTTCGTATTCGTAAGCTTATTTCTAATTTTAAGTACCAGATAATGAATACCTGAAAATTTCCCTTGAATTTTACGCATACTGTAGGGCTAATGAGTCTGGTGGATTAGAAAGAGTGGGAAAATTTTTCGAGAACTTTATAAATAGTCTAAGGTAAGTAAGTACAGGTCATTTGTGATTGTCTAGTGTCTTGTAGATGTTGTTATTTCTTTTTTTAAAAATTTAGATATTTTAGAATAATTTTTATTAAACTTGATTAGAAAAATAAAGTGAGTTAAAATTTAGTTAATTTATTTTAATGTAATAAATCAGTGGAAAAATTAAAATTCAAAATTATAATCTTGAATTATTTCTTCAGTTTTAAAAAAAGTTGATAATGTCTTGTGTACCGTTGTGGAAGAAATATAAATACATATACGATCTACCGTATGTCGAGCGCGTAAAATTGTGCAGTATATTGAACAAAAATAAAAAATGGGAAGATCTTGCTGGTAAGATTTAAATTTGTATTAATAAATAATTGTTTTTAAGTAATATAATTTAAATTTACTAAGAGAAAAAAATACTTCTGAAAATTTATCTTTTTGACAAAAGAATTAATATTCTTAAAAATCAACGCTGTACTTTTTTGTCTGAAAAATTTTTACTTGTTTAAAGAATTGATTAAAATAATTTTTATATTATTCAAGTGAAAGTCTTGGTTTACTTCTGATGATATAAATAATATTTTATTGTCAAAAAATTAATATATATTGAAAAAATTCTTGTCTGGATATCACTTTTAATTTTGCTCAGTGTTATGGACAAAAAAAAATAATTATTTTTTATTATAATTAATAAAAAAAGGCAGGGGGATGCAGTTCAACATGCAGGTGATCGAAGCCCTCAGAACAGAAGAAGACCCGGTAGATAAATTATTGAGTTTGTGGAGTGATTACAATCACACGATTCTCGAGCTGTTCGTTTTGCTGATTAGATTCCAACAGATACAAGCTGCCGATTTATTAAAGCCTTTCGTTGACGAGAAATATTATAGTGTGTCGGCGAAGAAAGAAAATGACCTTGCTGAGTCATTATTTAATTCGCTGCCACATGTATCATTTGAAGAGCTTACTGCAGCGACAGGCGGCTGGAGAAGAGATCAAGTTTTGGGCAAAGGTGGTTGTGGTGTAGTTTATAAAGGTACTTACATTGATTTATTTCTTTATTGATAAATCCTATAACTCAATGACCAATTACAAGGTTACAAAAAATTAATCTGTAACTCACACGGAAAAAAGAAAAATTATATAAAAAACTAGAAAAATTACAGTTCGAAATAACATTTTTATAAATTAAAAATTTGAATAATGTAATTTTTCTCTTTTTTTTTTTTTTTTTGGTGCAAAAGCTTAGGTGTATTTTACGCAATTTGTCTTGAATTTATTAAAAGAGATGCAAGAGCATTTATATTTTTTGAAAAAAAAATAAAAATTTACTGTAAATTTATAAAATCTGCCAATTGATTGTTTAATTTTTTTTTTTATTATTGTGCAAATATTGGCTTGTTTTAGTGAGTAAAAATTTTTTGATTTTCTTATTTTTTGAAATAATAAAAAATCAAATCTAAGAAATTTTTTAAAATTATCTTTTTTTTCTATCTAAGAAATTTTTTAAAAATATATTCTAAGTTCTAAACTGACGAATTTGATTTTCTACGAAACTTCTCAGGTACATGGAAGAACACAGAGGTCGCAATAAAGAAATTAGGCCGAAAAGAGTTAACTGACAGTGAAAGTATCGCACTCGAGCAATCATTCAGAGAAATAAAGATTCTTCATTCACGGCCTCATGAGAACATCCTTCCACTGTACGCGTTCAATCTCAGCGGACCTTTTCCTTGTCTCGTGTACAAATTTATGGCAAACGGGTCGCTTGATGACTGGCTGATGCTTCACGATGGTAGGTCGCCTGCTCTGACCTGGCTTCAGCGACACGACATCATAAAAGGCATCACAAGAGGGTTGCAATATCTGCACACTATTGGCGAGAGACCTCTAATTCACGGAGACATAAAAAGCGCTAATATTTTGTTAGACAAAAATTTTGAGCCCCGGATTGGAGATTTCGGTTTGGTTCAGGAAAAACCCAATGAAGATTCTCCCAAAGTATGTTCCTTAATTCGTCATTCTTAAAATATTTAGAATTTAGGCACGGAAGAAAAGTGCGGTCAAATTTACAGGAAAATTTTTTGAATTTTCAGTTTTTTTTATTGTCAAGATATAATTGTCGGGTTTATATTTTTAGTAATGTAATTTTTACGCACAGAAAAAAAAGAATTTATTGTGTCAAAAATTTTTTTTAGGAAGATCAAAATTATTCTAGAGCAAAAAAAAGATTTTTTTGGCCTTAGAAAATTTGACTTAAATTAATTCAAGATATTTTTAGTCTTCTTTAATATTTATTTGATTTAAAAAAATTTACTCTCGAGTCAAGAATTTTTTCTTTCTATGAATTATAAAAATTATTAACTTAAAAATGCAAATTTTACATTACAAAAAATGGAAGTTTATTAGAAAAATGCATTACATAAAATTCAATTAAAATTAATTTTTTTATTGTTTAGGTTAAAAAACTGCAAGGAACCAGGGCATATTTACCGGAAGATTTTTTGAGAACAAAGATTCTCTCTACAAAAGTTGATGTCTACAGCTACGGCATCGTTTGCTTGGAAATGGCGACCGGGTTGACAGCTTACGATTCCTCCAGATCGGAAAACAAACTACTCAGAGATTATGTTAGCGCTTGGAGTGATAGGAATAGCTTCGACCTGAGGGATAGGAAAGCTGGTGATAAAAACAAGCAAATATTTTACCACTTACTTCAACTGGGGAGATGGTGCTCCAGTAAGTTCGCTAAAGATAGACCCGAAATGGAGGATGTTTTTAATGAATTGGATAACATAATATAGTTAATTTTTTACAAACGAATAAATATTTTCATTAGTATAATATAATATTAAATTATCAAGTAGCTAAATCATTTTGCTATGGCAATAAATTGATTTTTTTAAGGTGAAAAAAAAATTCTATCACAATGAAAACAGCTAAGTAATAGTGAACAAAATAATTTTGTTATAACAGCAAGTCGGTATTATATCAATAAAATAATTATAAAAAATTTTTCTACAACTTTGTCTTTTATAGAAGGTTATTTTTATTGTAAAAATCAATTTTAACAAACAGTAAAATTTAACAGTATAATTTTTTTAAATAAACAAAAAATTAATTTTGTAACCCCAATCGGTCAACTAGTTTTACTTTCTACTTCTTAAGCATAAATTACCTTCCGTAATTCGACTAGTAAACTGTTCTGAAAAATACGAAGATACCAAAAGAGCACAAATTTTTACGCAGTTCCTGTTTTATCTTACAGATGGCGCTAGCCAATGGTTTTCCAGGAATAGCATCAAATGACGTCACGACAGACTTTTGAGATATATGCATAAAAATATATTTTTTTTTTTTATTTAAATAACAAGATTATTTTCCTCAACTTTTTAATAATAATTAAATTATTTTAATATATCTGACCCTATATAATAAAAAACCAACTGATTGAATTTAAAAGGACAGTAAAAACTATACTAAAAAAATTATCTTTACAGCTTGAATTTACATCTCGTCATTGAAATAAATGCGTCTTTATCTACTTCCACGAATCGAAAAAGTAAAACTAATATAATCTTCCGATAGAGACTTGACTATCGTCAATAAAAAATTTTTTGCCACTCAACTAAAACTATAAAACTCATAATATAACTCGATATCTTCCATAGCTTGGGCTTATTTCATCACCAACTCTGAGAATAAATTCACAACTACTGACACATCAAGTACCCTAGATCCTTTAGTACTTTTCCAAGTATCTTCTCCTTTCTCTCTCTTTTATAAATCTTCAGTATTCCATTCAACACGGTATCTCGGTCCTATCATCCACGATTTAATGTTTAAGCGTACCGCCATCCAGACCTGGCTTATAATCAAATACCAGACATCAAAT